AWAAAAAAATCTAGTATTATTGAAAAGAAAATAAGATATTTTCAAATATTTTCTATATTTTTTAAATAAATTCTCTATATTAATTACCACATATTTTCGTTATTTCCATATATTTGTTATTAAGAATTTTTAATAACTTTTATTAGAAAATGAGTTCCTTAAAACCTTTTTAGGATGACATCTAAGATTTTCACCTAGTGTCTTATTTATTAATATATAGAGAATTGATGAAACTTAGAGATATCTTCAATACTACAATTGCTGTTACACGGAGAATTGTGCTTAATATATATATTTGTTTTTAAGAAATCATAAACACTCTCTTCATAAAGAAAAGAAAAATGCCCATTTATGTTGTTCTACTATATTTGGCAATATGCATTGTTTTATTAAGGGTCTTTTTGGTGAATAACCAGACAAAAAAAATAAGTAAAAAGTTAGAAAAAATGAGGTATGTGGCAAATTGTAGACCATTGGGTTTGGGGTTTTTGGTTATTTTTTAAATTATAATTTTTTTAAATTTTTAGCAAATTCTTCCTTTTATTAACTACTCGTTTTACATATTTTTTTTGTATAGTTAGATATTTAAATTCTATTAATAATTAAAATTTCGTATTTTCAATCACCAGAATAACTAAAATAATTTTTTTAATTGAAATCAAAATCTTCTGAAACATAATAGCGGTTTAATCGTTTAGTTTTTTTTTTCTTCTAATACAACCAACTTGGTTGAATTCTCTACATTCTATTTGGATTAAGTCGTTAAGAGAAATCATATGTGCAAGTTTTATATTGTCACATATTAAAACGCGAGACTCTTAAAAGACCAAAATGTGCAAACGAGCTAAAATATCAGGAATTAACAAAAATTAGGCCCATTAAACAAGGCCTAATTTTGATGTGCTTCTTTGTCAATTACCTTCTGCTGTGCTTCTGTTGATTACATTGTTTAATCATTTTCTTTGTAATCAATGAAGAAAATGAGGAAAACCTTCAACAAGCTGAAGCAAAAACTTACCGAGTTAAACGGGGATTTGCTAACGATTGCAGATGGATAATACTCTATTCTCAAGGTAAGATTTAACCATCTAAACAACGTATCTTAGACTTGTTTGTATAACGATATATGTGTGGTATCATCTTATGGTTTGATTTCTTTTTGTGTAGCCTAACACAAATGAAGGTGAAATCCTCCTAAGTTGGAAAACCAAGAGACCTGAACTGATATGTAAAAATGTTTTTCAGATTGATGGTACGTTTGCGATATTATTCTGCCTCTTGGTTTCAATCTATGAAACTGTTTTCCCTTGAAGGATTTGAGGTAATCGAATACTCTCATTTGTTTTTTTTGCACTTTTGATGCACAACATCAAAGTTAGTCCACCAATTTCGAGGATCCATAATAAACATCATTGTAATGGATGATATATTTCTAAAAGGACTAACCTTCATCGAGGATGATGCATACTCAGCCATAAGTTCAAGATAATCTTCACTCACTATTATGAAACAATCTCTTTAATCACTTTAGCAGTTCATGTGATATTTATGCATTCTTATGTGTCATGTGAGTTTAAGAGAAA